TTAGAATCTCGGCCTGGAAACCGGCTTTCCTGAAAGGTTTTTTGTGTTTTTCGTCAGTCGTCCAGTGCCTTAAATTAGGCCACGGTTGCTTCCTTACATATTATTTATAATTCATTATTAAACATCATCATCTAAAAAGTTTGAGTTGCTGAAAAGCGTAGTTTAATGAACTAACCCCGCGGAACAGAGACATTTTGAGAAACTTCTGTCGCTCAGCTGGTCAATAAATTCCCTATCATTTATGGGAAAAATCTGTACTCCTCCCCCAGTATTGTCAGGGTGATTAAGTCGAGAAGAATGAGATGGGCTGGGCATGTAGCGCGCATGGATGGGGCAAGAGGTGTGCACTGGATATTGGTTGGGAAGCCTGAGAGGAAGAGACCGCTGGGGAGACCTAGACGTAGATGGGAGGATAATCTTAGGCGGGATCTACGGGAGATAAGATTTGAAGGAAACTGGATTTTGTTGGTCCAGGTGGAGGGCTTTGGTTAATTCGGTGATGAACCTTCGGGTTCGGTAAGCCATCTAGTTACTTAGATAGTTAGTTATCATTTATGGGCCCCCCCCAAAAAAAAACTAGATTCAGTCTTAAACCAATTTTTTTAAAGATTAGTATATTCTTCCATCACCGTCTGGTTCTAGCAAGTGTTACTTTCTTTTGAGTTTTCCGACAACACAGAATGGTAGACGTGAACAACAAACGTCCTAGTTAGCGATGTTCCGTCTTTGTGGTCCCAGGACTGCGGTGATGAGGCAGCATCCACTTTCATCTGGCGGGAGGGTACATATTCGCGTGACCTTGCCGTCTTAGCCGCGATGTCTGAACGAGTGTGCTTGACCTCAGGACGTAAGAATACGTGCGTACCATTCGCCAAGTTGGCTCCAAGGAGCTTCTTCACTCGTATCTCCGCCTCGGGCTGTCTCATTTCACGATGAGATTTCTGGTTGTCTCGCTTCAGTACCACCAGCACGGTGTGGAATCAGTGGCCCACGGACCGAATTCGACACGAACAGAGTCCTTTTTGAGAAACTGTCAAAGAAATTCCCGTCTTTTATGGAACCAAAAAAATTATTACCGTGATCACAAGAGCCTGCCACTGGTCCCTGCCCTGAGGCAGGTAAATTCAGTCTACAACCATGAACGCCCATTTCTTTAAGATTTTTTTTAATATTATCCTCCCACTGCGCCTTGTTCTGCCAAATGGTCTTTTCTTTTAAACGTTCTTATTAAAATGTGTGAAATTATCATCTTTCGTGTTTCTACAAACTCATCCTCCTTGACGTGTCTCTGTCTCTTCAATATCCATTTAAAATGCAGTTTTAACTTATATTTGTTCCACTTTCTTCAAGAGACAATAACTCGTACTTTGCATTTTTTGTGTTTCGTATGATTCTCATAATAAACAGCGATTATTTCCATAACCGGTTGATCTTTGTAATGGTGAAGAGATGTGTTTTCTTCGCGGTACGGTCTGTATTCTTAAATATTACTTAGACGAGCTTCGATTCTGCAGGTTAATCAAGAAATACGTCACATTTTCGTATTGTAATCGTTGTGACGCAATACGTAAGCATTATTACAGTAAAGAAATTATACTTCATCTTAACTATAAAATATTTATTCTCGTATCTTCTACTGCGCAGTAAACCACGAAATACCACTTAGTGTAATTTATTTCTTTTGTTACGTCTCGTAATGACAGCTCTGTCTGCCTAAAAGGAAATGGTGTTTGAAATTAAGTAATCGCGAAAATGAACTAACTTTTAAATGGCGTAGTTTGTTAAGGGAAAACAGACATCTGGCACAAAAGACAAGTAACGAAATTATGATTTTAAACATTTAAAGGGACGGGCTTATTAACAATTTAAAAATTATACATCTATTTTGAAGAGGAGTTAATGCTGTCGACGTATTATTTACTGAAAATCTCCTAAGTATTAAAGAACAGAAAAGGGTTGCTACGATTTGCCGTGTTCTGGGTTGTAGTGTATGTAGTCTGGTAGACCACGCTGCCTTCATCATCAGGGCGATTTCCAATATCTCAAACTGAAGGCGTCTTATTATTTGCCCTTATGAGTAACCCGAAAGACCAACATCAAAATCTTCATCGCCTTCAGAACCTCAAATCTGAGTTTAAAAGTCGGCGAGCGGCTCGAAAATTCTTACTGCACTAATTACAAGTTTTGTGTTGGCGACGTGCTTCTGTGATGCACACGAAGAAATCCGTATATTCCCGTGTCATGACGTCATATCTGTGCCCTCACGTGTTTTTAAACGCCGTTGCCGGCAGTTGCAGGAAACTTCAGTTGTTCAAGGCCTTGGGAAGGTGAAAATAATTTGCTTCACCGAAATAAAAAAAAAAATCCCTTTCTCGGAAACTAATTATGAATCAGAAAAGCTCTGGTAATGATCAGCTGTGTGGAAAATAAGATACGCGTCTCGGAGTGTTAGTAACAGCGGAGCTTAGTGAGTTGTAATATAGACATAAACAGCCACCAGCTAAGGATTCTGCGATTAAGATTTAGCACAGCCTGGAAGGTGAATGGTGAAGTGTTGACAGAAAAATTGCGTGATTTTGGCAACGAGACCACAAACCGCCAACATTGGCAACTCATTAAGTAAAGACGACTCTCGGCCTTCGTTAAATGCCTGGTAGTGGATCTTCGTATCGCTTGGGTTGACCGCGTCAGATTGTGGTTTCCTTACGTCAGCATTATTATGATAGCCTATTAATTGTTTTACTTTGTACTGTTTAATTAAATTACGTCAAAAGATGTTTTGCCAGTTTGTAAAATGTTGCCATTATCGTGAACAAGTAGTTTAAGTATGTAACTTATCTCGCCATTGTTGGACACTTACTTACAAGTGTTAATTAGGCTTGTGACGTTCTTTGCCAGCTGTTTAGTCCACATTCGATATAATTCTGTCAAGCGTTTGAGTATTGTTCCCACCGTCGTTATGACAGGAGTTATTGGAATTTCATTCTTTGTGCATTAGTTGTTTGGGTTTCTCCAACCTTTTGTATTCCTTTACGTAATGTTTCTGTAGTCCACCGCCCGCCATAGGATACGATTCTGAGCCATTGCCACCCCCCCCCCTCACAACCTAATTCCATTTAAACCGTCTGTTTTGGTGGCGCCAGGATGGGGCATCGCATCTTCGCCAGGCGCCTTCCAGTGGATTCGCTTTCTGTTACGTCAAGCTTTTCCACATTCTTCTTTTATCTTCCATCTTATCTCTGTTCCAGTCACTTGTCATCTTATCAGCTGGGCTTTATTTTTTAGTACGTTTTAAATGGTTTCCTTTTTTGACACAAAATTTCTCCTTCCGTCTGAGCGGAAACTACATCTTGCCTCATTCGTACGTTCCTCTAAAATATTTTGTGTTCCCTTATTAGCGAACTTTCATGTAAATTGTGTATGTCTCTATTGGAACTTCAACTGTTTTACTTCTTACACAATGAAATCATGGATTTGTCGTGTTTCGTTCGCTGTAACCAGAAAGCGTCAGTTAGCTTGCAGATGGAGTAAGAGGGATCCCAAGTGCCATGAGGAATACAGCTGCAAATATATTAATTTATTCACTTTAATAATTCCTCTGTACAGAAGAGAGTTTTTGTAGACCATAACTTATTATTACTATCTCTATAAAGGCAGAATTTATTCTTATAACTAGAAACCTACCCTTCCCTATTCCCACTTTTGTCTTACTGAATCTATTTTCTAATTTAAACCTAAATTTGTACATTCTCACATATTCCTTGATTCTATAGCAATTTAACATTCTCTCATAAACTGTAACTTCATTATTACCATGTAATTTTGTGTCTTCAAAACTCCTTTTGATTCAAATATACGAAGACCAAATCTCCTGACGGGGACGTGGCTTGTATATTTTCATTCCAGAAGAGGCATTGCGAAACTGCTCGAAACACATTCATTTTCGGTTGTTTCATAATTGCTCTTATGTCTCGAAGCTTCAACGCCGCTGAAACAAAGCCTCCCTTTGGTTGCTGAAATCATGTCGTCAGTAAGTATCCATCAACGCCTTGTCTGCCTTCCAGGTAGCAGCCGTGCAAGGGGTTTCCCCACCAAATTTATGTATGCGTTTGTCGTTTTACCCACCCAAAGTACATGCACAACCGACCGTGTAATTTCTAAAGACTTTTATTAGAAACGCAGTATCCAGTACAAAGCGTTGAAATTAGAAATGCCTGAAGAATTTTGCATACATATTGTAGGATAACTAATTTCAAGGGACAGATCCCTTCTTGAGAAGGTTGTAGTGGCTCAGCTATTAAAGACATTTCTCGTCGTTCAAAATACCCGAGTGTTCATTACCGTGTTCGTAATAGCCCGCCATCGGTCTGTACCCGAGCTAGATAAATCCAATCTCCATCATCCAAGCCTTTAACTTTAAAAATCTACGCTTGGATGTGTGTGTGTGTGTGGGGGGGGGGGGGGTAATTCCAAAGTCTATCTGAGGAGAGCAGTATGTAAGGTCGTGAATTAAGTTTACCGACCTCATGACCCCGGCCAGAGACGAATGACCTTCTGTAACAAATTTTCGAATTCCTTAAAAGGCCCTGCGTTTCTGAGTAACTATTAACGTCTAGAAAAGTGAATTGAGGGTAGTAAAGGGAGTCTCGTCTAGTGAGTTTTATATCAACGAAATTAACAGAACCAAAAAAATACTCGCTCCAACTTTGTACCTGCATTACGTGTTTGTCATGCTTCGACTTTTCTGGGTGTGAACTTGGCAGACAATTCCCAGGTACGCAAACAGGTGACAGTAGAAGGCAGGGACAGGAAAGGCGGGTGCTTATTTTTTGTAATAAAAACACTTCATCCTTTGTTGTCTGAAACAAGCATTTATTTTGGTTTTTTGTTTGGTGTTTCATTTAAGAGTTAATTAAATTTTCCGTCTCTTCCGACTATGAAGTCTTGTGTGCGTAAGTGGGACAACGGAAGTATTAATAATGAACATTACAGAATCTAGTGAGCATCAGGACACTAGAACACTATTCCAGTGCAAGGTTTGTGGTTCTTCGTCGGCCATATTTTCAATATGGAAGCCCTGAACGTTAAAGCTAGACACAAATCATTTTACGGTTTACCTCTGGTGTTTATAATGTAGAAAGCTTTTGTTACACGCCTTTCAATCCGTCATGAAATTGAACTTTTGGTATTTAAAATTGAGGCCCTTTTTTGGCCTGTGATGCTAATTGCATCTCTGGTATTTTATCTCGGTCATCGTTGTGAATTAGTTATTTTAGGAACGAACCAATAGCGTGGAAGAAATTTCATCAGGAATCCATGTGTTTCGCTTAAGTGTATTTGTCTCTTGTGGACTTTCGTAATAGAAAAATAATTTTCGTGCACTAGAACCGTGATTTTTAACATTTAAAAAATTCTTATTTTTATTGAATGAATACGGCTGAAACTTAACCAGAACATTCATAAGAGCTCTTATCGTCTTGGACAATTATTTACTTAATGTAATCACCATTTGATTTCGGAAGGTTCTTCAGTAGATGTGCATAGATACGAGATTAAAAAGAGGATTCTTGTATTTGCGTATTTTATAAATCGAATATAATTTCATTGCAGTGTCCCGAACAATTTATAATATTTTTAAGCTGAATTAAAACTGTCAGGACTTGGAGCTGTGATATTTAATCTTGCTGTTAAGTAATTTTCTAGTGCCCCTGTCCGCCCATCACACACGCACACACATCAACTACAATCATATCAACTGCTTAAGCTTGATTCCAGACAAGTGTTTCCCTAAGCATGTGAATGCACTGGGTCTTATGTTTATAAGTATGCTGTATTCTATACGGTCTATTATTATGAGTAAATAATACAATCCATTTCTACTAAAATTCGGCAAATTAAATTTACCGAAACAATCCATGTCAGAAGATCTCTTCTAATCTAGCGTCCTTAATAATCAGCATGTCTGAACAGAAAACTAGGAACTCTAGCAGTGTAAAATCAAGTATTTGTTTGACGCCAGCAGCGCTGATTTTCTTAGTAATCACAAATAACATTCATGTACTTCACTAGTTAACGTATAAATAATGATTTCAGAATGTGGGTATAATGTTCTATCAATCACCTTATATAATAATTATATGTTTATACACATCTGCAACGAACATCTAAACCTTAAAATCACCAGATCACCAGTGCCATGACTTTGTAATTTTAAGGACGCCTTTTTTGGTTGCTTGTAATAAAAGGTCAGGGCTGATCACACATATAAGGGAAATATTATAATAGTTTATTCTGAGGGCTCCTCTGTCTCCCTGCCCATTTGTGAGGCAGACATCCTGTTCGTTCACATTCAAACATCGCCTCCTTAAAATGACACAACGTTTCATATATAACTCGCGAGTTTCTTCAGGCATTCCACCATCCATGTTGCTCATTCACGTGCGCTGATGTAGGATCACAGAGGGCGCTTAAGAATTAGGCCGCTTGCTTAGTGCATGGGCTTTAAAAGACAAAGAAATTATTTGTGGGGGAGAGAATTATCTTATCAACTGGTGAATACCAGGACGTTTAGTCTATTTATTTTCGATTTAGAACATAAATCACATTTGAAAACTGTGATTGGGCCAGACAATCTAATTTACGAAAATGAACTTTAAATTCTAATAAGATCTGATTTTTTTCCCGAAAGTAATTAAATATTACACGTGAAATAACAATTAATATTCTTGCGTTTTCGCATAAAACTGGGTCCCGTATTAACTAATGGCACAAGTTTCACAATTTGGTCGTTCAGAAGTAACGAGTAATTAAGGCAATATTATTTTCATGAAGTTTTATAAATTAAAAAGCAACTTTATGCCACGTGTCTTCGGCATGGCAGGTGTGAAGCCGAGCCTGTAACAAAGTATCCCATAACTAGTCACCGGGATTTGAACCCACTTCCAGTCAGCTCAATCTCCTACCATACGTAAGAACTGTACGTAGTAGATGGTCAGGATAATAAATAAATTAAAGTTTTTCTAATTTTCTTTCGTAATTATCTTCTTACTTATCCATTAAATCTCAGTAAGTTTGTGAATGAACTTCTGGCATGAGAAGTGATCACTTAATAACAAGAGGAATCAGTCATTAAATATTCTTTGTACTATATTTAGTTAGAAGATAAGGGAAGATACTTCTAGTTCAAAACACGTGACCTTGGAGCTTGTCTTAGCCAGAGAATGATAGTGACCTTGAATCAATTACAGTTAAATCATAGAAAGTTGCAAGGAACTTTTGAAATATTAATCGGTTTATATATATAAAAAAAATCTATTATTAAAACATTTCACAATCTCAAATGTTACAATTGACCCTTACCATTTACCAGTCCGGAGAAATTAGGATAATCTCACTACATCGACTTTATTACGATGCTGAGCATCTGTAGAAGTTCTTAGCGTCGCGTAACAAGTTCATATATAAAAAAATATATACTGTTATCTGACTAGTCCAGGCGTGCAACCCGGGATAGAAAAACAACAGAATTTGGCAAGGCCTCGATCCATACTAAAGTGAAAAGCGAAGTTACAGAGGAAAAAAAATCTGTGGGTATACTTCCACGTCTGAGGGAATGTTTTTGCTAAATTTGAGCTTTGGTTGGGGCTGGGAGGCATTCTAACAATTCCAGTGTCTTGCCCAAAAAAAAAAAAGAAATTAAGAAAAAAGTGGGAAAGATGAATCTCGCACACAAGCTCCACGCCGTAAACAGCAGCAAACTGCTACTGCTACTGTTACTGTGAGTAATCTGTGTGCCAGAGTCAGGCGCCCCGATTTACAGTGGAGTATATTTGGTACATCGCATTTCACTACCTGATATGCAGGGATGACTTTAACCTGACCTGCTCATTGTTTTTTGTTCTCTCTCTCTCTCTCTCTCTCTCCACCTGGGAGTGTGATATTTTGTTCGATATATGTATGTCTGCTTCTTGAGGAGGCCATTGGACTCGGAACGTGTTTCTCCTGGTTGAACGGCAACCATCCAAACAACGATAGGCCTATGTCTTCAGCTCGGCCAGCGAAACCGGTTCACCTGAAGGCCAGACAGACGGACGGACGGACGGACGGACAGACAGACAGACAAACTTCCGCGTTTGCACGTCGTGTGCTGATGCCTTTTCAAATCTTCTCAACGGCAACCACAAGATCTCTGTTCGAACACTCGGTGATCCGAATTCCACCATCTTCTACACACTGCAAAGCGGTAAGACGTAATGTAGGAACTCTACCCTCGTTCAGAATGACAAGAAGTGTTTGTAACGGTCCAGCACTCGCTCAAGATCTCGCTGTTCAAATCATTTCCGTTACTTCTGAATTTAAAAAACAAATCACGGTTGTGGGACTGCGAGCGTCATTAAAGATGGGTGATGATGATGTCATCGTCAATGTCATCCTTCTCGTCGTCTGTTTCCTCGGTCTTGTTCTGTCTGGCTAGCTCAGCGGCGGCGGCGGCCGCTGCCTTAGGATCCTCTGCCAACTGCTTCCTGCGCACAGCCTTTCTCTTGTGCAGGACCTCGACGACGATGTAGCCCGCGAACCCGACCACCAGGACTGCCAGCATCACGTACAGCTTCATGCGTGCGCACAAATGCGTGCTGTATGCGTAAGCAATGACGAAACCTGCCGACTCCCACAGTCGGTAGTTACTGAACGCAGCCTCCTTGTTTCTGCGGAACAGCGTCCCGTAGATCCCTGAAACATGCGAAATGACGCCATCAGCACTTCCCAATTGATTGACCTTGCTTTTCAACCTTCTTCCTCGTCCTGATGATGGAAGTAGTATATATCTCCGAAACGTCGGTAAATTTCTACCAGACTACACGGCAGGGTAATTTTCTACTAATTATTTATGAAATATGACGTGTCGGTGGCGTAAATTTATGTTTATCTCGTCAGATGTGTGACAAGGATGTTTCAACATTAGACCAGTTCAGGGCTGAAAGATGCCAGACGTTTGCATCCCAGAAGCTAACCTTGTTTATTCAGACAAGTCGTAAGTCCGTACGTCTTGTTCGTGGCAAAAATAAAATACTGTATTTTTCGTCTTTGAGAATGAATAATTAAAAGAGCTCCTCTAAATCTTCGTTAGCAAGTGTGATGTGCAGTGTAGCCTATACGTGGCCGGTTTCAATGCGTGAAATCGTTGACCGAGACAACTTTTACGCGACCTTAGGTCACGTAGATGTTGCTACTTTGGTGGGGGGTTGGACGTAGGATATGTAAAGAAACAAGTGTTACTGGGTTAAGGTGAACGTGGGGTTAGATTTGAATGTGATTAAACGTATGATATTTATTGCAGAATTATTTTAATTTAAATTACTTACTACGTTAGACATAAATTCTTTCACACAGAAGCAAACTTCGATGTTCAGTCCTTAGCTCGCACTACTTAGCAATCGCTTTTGAGGAAGTATGTGTGGAAACTCAAGAAGTAAAGGAAATTTTACTTTATTTACAGTGTCATGTTTGTAACACTGATTGTGATGATAGATATACATAATATGAACCGTTTCTAATTTTGATCCAGTTGGTTACCACTGTTTTTGGGGGTAGTGATGACACACGTGTCACGACTTGCATGGATATTTAGTTACCAGAATGCAAAAAAAACAACCTTCTGCAATCTGGGCTTTGTATAACAGGGGTTAAAAGATCTCTGGTCTGATTATTAGATAATCGTAATCGATTGTATAGTGCAAATGCGATCTATGTCCACGTCTGTACCCCTCCACCCCACCCCCCCCATTAGAAACCGTTTATTTTATGAACCAATCACCACGCCGCTGCATTGCTGTAAATACTAGAACATCGATCAAGGAACATAAACAGTTCCATTAATTCAGCGCAATTTGTTTCGAGAATAACCCGGGCGAAGGTCTGGCGCTTTCCCCCGTAGGCAATAGCAACAGTGAATGATGGAGCGAGTGACAAACTTTCGTATGACGTGTGAGGAGAAAGTTCTACGCCGTGTGGTGCTTAGAACGGGGTGTTTTTCGTCTGCCTGACATTAATTAAACTTCCTGCATGTTTGAAAGCAGCAGCTTAGCACAGTTCGCATTTCATACTTAATACGTGTGTGGGTTATCAGTTATCCAATGGGTAACAGGGTCTCTTTTTCTGGTGGGGGGGGGGAGGTTACCACACACCTCTATCTATTGCAGAGGTTAGGAATAAGTGGAGCTAAACCTCTACTCTCCTATACGTCTTCATGGATTAGTGTTTGGTGAAGTACCAGGGATAACTTTATAGACGCGATAAAACTCGAATCGAAATCCACGACGCTGATTATTTAGTAACGACGTCAATTTTACAACAACAACAAAATCTAAATGGATTTGACTACAGTCTATTGAAAATTTGTATCAGTAATTCTTGAGTAAATTGTTTTGTTGTGTTCGCTTGTTTTGAATATTCTTTTGTTTGAAAGAACGTGGCGTATAAGTTGAAGTTCAACGTAATTTGTTGATCGTTCTGTAATCAGTACCACACACACCTGCCATTCGCTTCAAGGTAAGTGAACACTTCCTCAAGACGAGGCACATGCCTTTTTTAAAATAATTATTCATTGATAAAGTTACAATTCATGGGTCACTATTTGCATGGCCCCGTTTTTAAACACAACATTAACATTTAACTATAAAAAAATGTTCAGAATTACAAAATTGATATTTACCACCTGGCTTACGATCGTGTCCAATGGCGGAGTTTGCTATTAGAGGTAGTTGTTGGCGAACATTTTTAATTCTGCTGTCACAGAATTTTACTTACCGTTCACTTGCGTCTGCCACACGGCATCTCCTACACCCCACAGGCCAGAAATGGCGAAGAATACGAGAGGCGAACTTGGATGGGGCCTCCAGAAGAGCAAGACGACCACCAGGCATGCGTGAACCACGACGCCGAGGACCATCAGCGGTACCCGGCCGATGAATTTCATGACGGAACCGAACACAACCGAGCAGATGGCATTCACCACGCCGAAGCAAATCATGACGTAACCTACGTTGTGTATACCCAGGGCGCATGATACGTACGCCTGCAATGAAAAGAACGGAAGACTGCATTTGTATTCTTGCGGGACGAACGTCAGACAATGTCAGGGCGGCTCCTGCAGAACACAAGAATTTAGCTTAAAATTTATATTAGTAACTTTTCTGCAATTGGAAGGTTCATTATTTTTGCTTGCAAGAACCAGCTACCGGTCCCTGTCTTGGATAGCATATTAATGCTCCTCGTGTGACTGAAGTAAAACCACGAATAATTAAACAGCCAATGGTCGTGTCGGTACGAAAACAGCATAGTTCAAGAACCTAAAATCAACCGGCCCGGTCTACGAACTTCGCTAAAATCGTGAGAAGAATCCCTGAGTCTTCTGTTCCGTCCTGACAAAGTAATACAAATCGATTCTATTAAGAAAAAAAAAAAGACCTTCCGGCAATAGAGAGGTAAATGTGTTTAAAATAACCGCAGACAGAAGTTTGTATAGGAACACTTCACATGTGCCATTAATGGCGAAACCTCTCCGTATGCTGAGTGGTCAGCAAACAAGGTAATTCCTGAAGGTCACTAACCAGCTAATGTTTTTTCCGCTAGTCTTAAATTGCATTGGCACGCGAGACTGTGGTTGCTCGGGTGGTCCCTTTACAGCAGCAGGCCTACAATAACAGGATAGGTGGTCCATCTACGTCATTGGCTGAATCACACGATCTTGAACATACAAGACACGTTTAACGACTCGGACGTTCATGAATTGAATCTCGTGCACTTTCGTTAGCATAACTGGTACAGCTGTGTTGACAGTCTGATGCTGTGTTTATAAAACATCCGAATGACGACTTGGACTGGGTTCTTAATACGAACCAAACATCTTGTATACATTAATAAAAACAATTCTGTAAAAACTTTTTTTTTTTTTTTTTTTTTTGAATTTGTCTATCGTCTAAGTTACAAATGAAAATGAAATGCAAACTTTCGGAAGGTGAATTGTTTTTCATCTTAAACAGTTCATATAGGACATTATTTATTGTAAAATATTACGAAGTTTCCAGGCTCAGAAATTATAAAATTTAAGTTGTATAATTTTTGTTTTGATTTTTCAAAATTATAGTTTATTAAGGACTTCAATAGTAAAAAAAATATTTCGAATAAATCGTTCCGTGTTTGTAGTGGATTGGGTGATTTTATGGACTCTTAAATTTTTATGAAGCTTTATATCTATGCTAAATTGTGAGCCCTGTCTGTTATTCAAATGTTCTACGCAGTGACCTGAATTATTAATTAGATGTATCATGAAGTGAATTTTAATTGTGAAACACGTCATCTGAGTAGGGTTAACATCAAGTTAGAGCCACGCCAGTCCCACATAAGTTTAATGCCTGCGGTAACAGAATAGAACATTTCGAAGGATTTGAATCACATCCTGTTGTCAGCCAAACCTAAATAAAAACGAATTTGGGCCTACCGCTGTCTTGTTATACGCAATAAAGAGTTCTCTTTTTTTTTTGAAATTATTCAATGGTAAGCGATTTGAGACTCCGAAATGTTAAAATCTTTTTAAATTTTCAAAATATTTTCACATTTCTGTGATTTGATTCCGATATAAAAATATTTTTGAAATGTTCAAATTTTCCATAGTTTGAGACGTTTAAATCAATTTACATTTTTACTGATGCGTGCGTTCTGAATGTCTAGCGATATAAGAAGAAAGTCGACTTGCACAATTACTTAACTTTTAAGCTGACTCACCCGCCTTATCAGGCCTTATGTCGTCACTTACACGTCTTGAAGGTTGAAGGAAAAAGTATTCCACGAAAGAATTGTTTACAACCGTCCTAATACATTTATGAGTGTGCGTCCTTTCGGAGTTTTTTACTGTGTTTTAGGGTCTGTGCTGAATATTTCAAGTTTTTAACGCCAGTGGTTTTTTATTAGCAAGTTTGCTGAAAGAACTTATGCAGTTTCTACAAGTTTCTTTTGTTTTAAAATCTGCGGTAGATCCGTAAATTTCTCGTTTCTTCTGACTCTGCATACGTGTAATTAATTCCCTCCGGGGTCAATTAAGGTTTTGCACTGGTCATGGTATATTTTAGTGTGTCTCATTACCCTTAGTTGCTGCTTTACGTATGTCACGAGTTCTCCTTCAGTAGACAATCTGTTGGTACACAGATTCCAGGCCTTTTGTGGAACGCTAAGGTTTATTTCTGTATTCAGAAAGATCCGCCACTGAACGACGCACAACACAACTGGGATAATGTGGAGCCACTCCCCCTTTAAGTTCCGTTTTAACATATTTACTTCACTATTGTGGTGTACGACCTAGGTCTCATACTAAAACTGAATTGATAATCCGATAATGTGAAGACTACCGTCTTCTCGGATGTTGTCGAGTAGAAATGGAGGCAGTAAGCTCCTGTGAAACGTGGGTGATTATGAAAGAACAATTGATGTAGTTGCAGACCCCCTCCACCTCCCATAATGTTCTTTATTGTTCTTTGTTTACTGTTTATTTGTCTCGGTAGTCCGGGAATTTCCCACAGCAGAATAACCCTCGTTTTCTTAAAATTGTTCTTTGAAGTGCACAAATATTTTGTGTTCACATTTTTACTACGAAGCGCATGTAATGATTTCAACACTTACAGAAAAATTCATACAATTTTACTGCATAAAATAAACGAGTTATAAAATGTATGCGATCTCACCGATATTTGACCAATCAGATTTTTGAATGGCAGGAGGATTCCCCACCCAAAAAACGGTTATAGTCATTCGAGTTCAATCAAACATGAAACATGTCTGCAAATTTAATAAAACTCGTGTGAATATGAAATTTCACGAGAATTCATTCATCCGGCATCGATTTGTTTCGGACGTCCGGACGGACGGGCAGGCGCTCTAAGCGATTGTAATATTCCCTGCGCATTGTAAGCGACCATCGGTTTGTTTAAGCCCTGGAGGACCAAAGACTGCAATTCTCTGGATCGACGTTGCCCAGCTCCACTATTAACACCACAGAATTATACGATAGGTCCCAAAAGGGTTCCAAATATGTGACCTTGAAGGAGACCCTGTGTGATGCTCGGTCCTTCCCTGTCGAGGTCGCCACGCTTGTTGCATGACGTCATATTCATTCGTGACTAGGACTAACGCGTCACATTCCTCATTCATCGAGTAAAATAATGTTTAATCCTCTTCCTCGCTTAACCCTGGTAGTGCCAGGTGTCGCTTACTACAAGCTCCTGTCACCTGCAGTGCTCAGAATAAAATCCAGTTCTCTTCACGTGATTTACATCATGGGACGTTTATTGTTCTTGTATCAATCACTTGCACTGATTGGGCATGCATCATAGATATATCAAAATAAATAATAGTAGTATTGTCGGTGTTCGTCTTCTGGTTAATAATGCTGTAAGTAGTACCAACGTTTCGGAGGAAAATAATGCCTCCATTTTCAGTTAGTGCTAGAGATGGAGACTGTATATTCTTACTTGTAAGGTAAATTTTAATATTATAAAGTTCAGATCATATTTGTTAATCTTAATGTTATCTACGAACGTGTGAAGAAATGAATGTTATGTAGGCGTATATTTCATTAGAAAAAATCGATAATCGCGAACGATTGTGTGATATTTTTCCGAAAGTTGTTATATGCGTGACACTTTGCTTTATATTCCTGAATGCAGCAAACAAATCTACTTAGAAGGAAAATGTTTCAAGGGAGTTGCATCAGATTATTTCTTCAGATGATATCAATGACAAATTATTCTTCAGAAATGTTTTGTCCTTCGTAAACTGAACGAACCTGGAATGCAAATGTTAAAACGATCCGGTTTGAATCGATAATTCGTCAATCAGATCTACGAATACACCAGTTATTTGTCCCATTTTGCGTTTACATAACGAAATACTGAACTAATGACCACTTTTGAACTCTAAAATTTATAACTCTGTCCTGAAACTGTTTGTTGACGGAGTTTTAAAAATTGTAAATGTTTACGCAAGTAAAAATATGACATAAAAATCGACCATGCGAGACCTAGTCTGAACAAAGACCTACTAATAGTGAAAAATTCTTAACGAGAAGCGTGCTGTCATGTTTCCTAATAAATGTGGAAGTTTCCCACTGGATCACAAAAAAGAAAATAAAGTCATTCGGTCACCAAGGTTACCGGATTTGACACAAACTGCTTCTTTCTATGCTTTAGAATTACATAAAGAGTTTAATTAGGGCAGGGAAGAGAGTAAGTCTACGTCGTACTTTCAAATCTCCCAAGCATCTGGTCGCCAGCAAAGGAGAGGTTTGTTTTAAATGAAGTTGGCGACCAGGAGGCTGGAACTCTTTCTTCATATTCGGGACACCCGGAGTTCACTTCGTAGCCCGGAGACCGGCCATTCTGAATCTTCACTGAGGAGTTGTTTTACTCAGTCACCCATGTAAATCCCGGGATATTAGGATTAAATTAAGCAAGAGATGAGAATTTTGAATATCCAGAAAAGTAGACAGGTAAAATATAAATATCCACTTGAGAGACCTAGGCATAGATGGAAGTATAAATTAGATCTTAAAGAAACAGGATTCTACCTTTGGATAAGATCAAATTATAGGATCTTGTGAACACAGTAATAAGCCTTCGAGTCCCATAATACGCGTTGAATTTCTTGCCTTGCTGAACCACTATTAGCTTATGAAGGTCTTTGCTCCATGATTAATTATAATGAAACGGACAGAGCAAATATCTGCCGGATACAAAATCAGTCCAGAGTAGTCTGAAATAAGTTAGTGCTTTATTATAGCTGTTTTAAGTTTCTCTTTAAATACGTCGTTAAGAAAAGGTGCTGACAAGATGAATGATGTTAATTTAATTTACGAAAACACAGGAACCGTATTTGAAGCTCGTTTGTTAATCTACTGTTTTCGAAAATGAGATCCTTCTGGGACATTGATCAGCATAATCTCATGGAAGTTGACCTCCGAAACGTCGGGCATGTTTTACGAGCCTGGACGACCCTTACCTGAGTGAAGTCAGCCCCAATGAAAGCTTGTTCCATGCCAATCCACACGGTTATTGGAATGAGCAGCTGTTGGTTTGGCTTCTTCAGTTGGTACGCTGTAGCTGACAGCAATTGTATTCCAGTGAGTTCGCTGCTGTCCGATCGCCTTTGTTTTTCGCCATATCTGAAAAGAGATACGACATAAGCCGATGCAGCACACAACACATTTTTCAAAAGTAAACATTACGTTTATTCAGCAGGTGTTAGATTTGTAACACGTGTTTCAGCCTCTGAAGCTCATAATATTTAAACATTCAGTCCGTACGACAAAGAAAACACGTCTCCATGACAACGATCAAGTGGTTTTAACGCGGATACACGCTTCAGTAAGATATTTTTTTGTGTCGTTTGGTTAACAGGATCTTCGCGCTTTAGAGAATACCTCAAGGGAAGTTTTTTCAAGATTTTTTTTTTGAAGTGTTCCAGGCGAAGAAAAATTAACATACTGAGTAATTCGTGATTTTCTCAAGGTCAAATGCATAAAAAAATCTAAGCGTTTGTTAAAGTATCGCAAAATTATTGTACTTATAGACCAAGTTGACGGATTTTCACGAAATTTGAGATTATGGAGATTTTTGTTGAAAGTTGTCGACACGTTCCAATTCTGGCCCAACAACAGCTGTCACTTAACATGAAGACCCTCGTGTGTTTTCTGTCGTCGGTGACAGCGTGAATCATACCGAACGCTCACCAAGGACAAGATTCTGCCGAACGCACCGGAACTGTTCCGCTCTGCGCGCATTTCTTATATTGTTTTGGATGTCATTTGTTTACAAGTACTATAATTACTGTTCGCGGGATCTACGTGTGTAATTCTACTGATGAATTTCTGAGATACGGAGGCTAAAAGGCCAGACTTGGGACATTTTCTTAGAGGAGTTCAGCTTTGTGACACTCTGTAATTATGACGAAAAATAGTTAAGTCCTTCACTTTTATGACAGTCTTATGTAACAGTCACACAGTACGGTTCTCACGACTTCGTGGATGATGATGATAACGATGATGATGATCCACGTTTTTGTAATTTGCCTTCAAAACGTCCGATATGGTATTTTTATATTTGTTAGGTCATTCACATTCTAGATGAGCCGCGAATTGTAAATTCGTGTTTGTGGGTTAAAGAGTTAAGTTTTTTTTTCCGACTAAAAGTTTGTCTGAATTTCTCTTGCGTACTGTTGCACTACGTTCCCGCCATTCCTTCATTTCATCGCCTTAATAAGATCTGATGAATATAATTACAATGCTCCTCACTATGTAGTTTTCTCCATTCTCCTGTTCATACAAAGAACTAGGACTGTATGCGGTGGTCTTAGTTATTCCAGACAAATGCTAGGATAGTACCTTAAGTTAGGCCACGGCCGCTTCCTTCCACATCCCTTCCAATTTATTCTTTACTGTCATTTTGTCATTCGATAATATATGGTCTGTTTTATTGACAGTGGCGTTAAGGAAATTACAATTAAAAATTCATATATGGAAATTTAGAGGAATTAATTACATGAATTTAACACACACTCATAATTTAAATTAGGTTAGTTTTCAGGGTCTGACGGCTTGGAGTTTGAAGATGGCTGTCTTCTGGGATGTTGCGCCGTGAAGTCTGGTAGAAATTGTTTCGTGGAGGCAGCAGACTGGGTCGACGAACAGCGCCACCATTCCAGTCGCGACGACCACGCAGCACAAGTAGATGCTGCTGATTTCGTAGATCTCGGAGTCCGGGGGTCGTTCCAGGTTCTCGTTTCCGGGGTTCGTCGTCATGCAAAAGTTAGAGCCGCACGTGTCGAAGAATGCTTCCGACTGCGACGTGTTCGCTGATCCTCCGCCTCCCTCCCCAGATGACAGCACTGAAGCAATGAAACGAGTAATTGCACGTCACTTCTTGCCTTTACGAAATTTAGTCCAGATTCATTCGGTAGCCCTTCGCCACAGAAATATTAGGGTATTATTAAAATACGGCCCTTTGTCACTGCACGACGCGTCCTCGGATTAGAGGCGTAGGAGAATATCAACTGAGCACGTACACAATGCCAGGTACATCAGTCAGAAGAGATGACGAATTCTATTGAACAGATTGTTTGAGAAACTGACAGTCGCTCAGATAGTCAGGGACTGTCCTGCCCTTTTTAGTACCCGAAGGATCATTTCCGTGTTGAAAACAGCTCGTCCATGTATCCTATCCTGAGCCACATTAATCCACTCCAAACATTCATACTCTTATTACTTAACATCAGTTTTAGTATTATCCTCCCACCAGCGTCTACGACTACCAAGTTGTTATTTTCAGGTATTCAAATAAAAATGTTGTATACGTTCATGACGCATGTCCCACCTATTTCATGCTCCATATTTTGATTTCCCTAATTGTACAGTTAAGAACAAAAATTATGAATCTCCTCAATACAAAGTAATACATAAGTAGGTGAAAACGTCGGAGACCGATGTCTTTAAGGCAGTGGTTAGGTTTTATTGTTCTTTTATATAATAATATCTAGACTTATTCTTAAATCTTGCAGAATTTCTTCATAATTAGAATTATTATCAATTACACCAACAAAGTTTTCTCATGGCGCCTTGTACTGCGGTAATAACTCCTCTTATCAGGAATACTTCATGGATTTTCGTACGTTTTCGAGCTACACTGCCGTAACACCACATAAACATTTACCATACGCCATGCTAAAAGTCCATACGAACCGTGAAAACGTAATTATATCTTCCTTTGATCTGCATTGCGCATGCGCTAGCCGCTGGCGTTAACCAACGAGGTTACTGCGTGTTTGTTACGAACCAAGAGCCTGAGCACAGCGATAATGATACTGGACCATATCCTGAGTCGCTTGAATCCAGTTGTAACTCTCAAAAACCCTTTTCCCTAATCCACTTTAATAGTATCCTCCGTTGTGGCGTAGACCAGCCGTGCCCAACATAAATTTGACGTAACGTTGTTACTACAGAAGTTATGTAATTACCTGGATTCTGCCGCGATTGTGTTTCAAGGTTATAATGTACGCAGAAAACTTTAATATCAAAGCTGCTACCTCCTTACAGGTCGGCGAAGGAGTGATTTTACAGTTTGGTAGGCAGGAATGTGGTGGTGTTCTGTTTAAAACTAGGTATAACGGGATTCCCCCTTCTCGGTGAAGGGATGAGGATTCCCTCTCCGGTTCAAATTTGCCCGTCACTTGCACACCTATAAGAAGAATGTCGATGCTTACCCAAGGAAGAGATGAGATTTCCCCACAGCTCAGCAGTTTGCCACGCAAGGAAGAAGAATCCGAAGAATCGGACGACAATGGCGTCGACCGCCTGGTCCGTCAACTTTGCATAGACGCCGCCGACTTGGGTGAGATACGTGGCTTTAGAAGCCCACATAGGAGCGGCGCCCAAACCGAGGATGACTCCAGCAGGTACCAGGGTGTAGAACCTCGGAAAAAACTGCGCCCCGATGTACGGAGCATACATGAGCATGGAGAAACACAGAGTCCACTTTACTGTTAGCCTCTTAATGAGGAACGTGGGCACGAAGATGCAGGACACAACGAGGGCTGCGTAGATGGCGGACAGAGACACTGTGCCAAGTCCTTCCTGCGCGTTGATGGAACTCTGTAGATTGGCCGTGCCTTGGAATGCAGTAAACTGCACCATGAAGGCAAGACTGACAGCTGCGATGTTCTTGAGAATTCTCCACTTTTCACGACGAGACAATCGAAACTTCCCATCGGCGCCTATGTTTCCCTCCTCGTCGCCGCCTCCGGGTGGAAGCGGGGGAGGTTTCGTTAACGAATTTCCCCGACCGTCTCCCGTGACGTCCCCGTCATCCTTAAACGCCTCGTTCGCGTATCCTCCGCCGACGGAGACCGTGTACACAGCTACATCGTCTTGCTTCTCGTCTGTCGGCTCTTTGTTTGTGTTGTTCTGCGTCGTCGTGGTGTTGTGGTTGGTGTTGATTGTTGAGTGGTCTTCTGTGGATGCCACCATCGTGTTCCAGTTGCTAGCTACCACAGCAGTTTCTGAAACAAGCAGAAATTAATTAGCGAACTCAAAGAAACGCTGGTGTAACCAGTCTAGACTTTTTTCTACTCCATGTAGACACGCGTACCTCGAGAAGCTGATGATAGCTTACCAAGCCGAGCAAATTCCCCCGCATTTTATGCAACCCTGAGCTTCATTACCGCATTCACAATAGGCCGCCCTTTGTCTCTATCCTGAGCAAGTTTAATCCAGTACATACTGTCTTTATTTAATATCAATCTTAAGATTATAGTCGAGCTTCGAAGATGGATATGCAGATTAAGGTTTGTTAGTTGTGTAAGTCGAAAAATTGAAGCAAGATAAAAAAGAGTCATCTTTGTAAATAATTGTTAAAGTCTCCTAGGTTACACGTTTTTAAAGAGGACTCGTATGGAAATCAATTTAGGTTATCCTTTGTGATTAAATTGCTTATTTGAAGTTCATGTCTGACGCTTAGCGGTTTAGCAAGTGTAAGAGAAGATAAGTAATTGGTGTCATGTTAGTAACCAACGCATTTCTCCCATAATAGAAACACACCTAAATGCTATACATTTTTAACATGTATTTACTACAGGGAAAGAACCCCCGCCCCCGGGTACCCATCGATAGGAGGCTGAGTGGGCCCCAGAGCCGGTCTGGATGCTGAGGATAGAAGAATAATTGGACCCAATCTTTATTTTAATGTAATTGAAGTAATATTTTTTGCAATATAAACACGTTCATTTAAACGTATTCTGTGTAAACTGTGATTTTGTTAACGATGCTGTCAGTAACTGAAACTGTAGAGCGTCGAATTTTAGTTGTTCATGTCTGAAATGAATTCAATGAATATTGAACGAAGCGCTTGTGACCTAATTCAGTGTTTCCCTTCATTTTATATTTGTTTCGTATGATTTTTAGAATAAACATCGATTATTTTCTTAAACAGCGTTAACCAGCTGATCTTCGTAATGATGTAGTGTGGTGTTTTCTTTGCGGTACGGACTGGATTCTTAAGTATTATTCTGACGAGCTTCGGCTTAAAAAAGAAATCGAAATATTTGGCCCTGTTGCTAGCATACTAGCCTAGGTCCCGGGTTCGTTCTCATTTGTCATCACTAATCTTAAAATTAACGGGTCTTCCAGTGTAATGACAACCAGTCGCTTGAAGGTGTATATAACAATGTCCACGAAACTTTGGAAAATTATTAAGATTTGTCTGAGTTTCGCAGTTACGTTCTGCATAAGCCAGTTATAGTCTGACAGTGTAAAAGTTACCGAGTTCACGTGTCAGTGAGCACTGAAAATTGGAATTCGATTTGAGACGCACTGTCACATTACGTTCGTGTCATATGTTTGGTCATAGTCTGAGTCACACACCACCAAACGTCATAATCTGCATGAAATAGTACTTACGACGAAATAGAATGTGTAGGCTGGCAGCCCTGACTGATTGCATGGACATGTTTCCGATGTTTGATCTCCAAATGTCACAAAATTTGCCAAAAATAAGGATCGGAGTCCAGAATAACAGATCCATTCAACACTTGACTGCTTTCGTCGAGTTTGCACGTAACACAGCGCGTAACCAACTGACTAATAATAGCAATTGTCGTTTGTGTGGCAGATAAGGACACCTGTCCTTTCCTTCGGCGTGACGAATACGTCATTTGTGACGGGCGCTCATGTAGCAAGTGAAATTGAATTGTGGGTGGGATTTGGTCAGACATGTGGATTTTGTAAACCTTTTCACCCTTTAAAGACGAAGCTCGGATAAATAATATCTAGAAGTTTAGTTCGTACTGCAAAGAAAACGCAACACGTCTCCATGACAACGACCAGTTGCTGAAAATCTTATTTAATTGAAAACTAAACATTCTCCTGGAAAAATACAGAGTTTTTGGTTGCAAAAGTAGGTGGTATATATAGTTACCATTAGGATTTAGAGGACATGACATGTATAAAGTTTCAATGTCATCTCTGTTACGCACTATTGGTCGGTATCTCTTAAAAGACAAGGTTACTTCAAGGTCAGTGAGAACCTCGCTTGCCTGAGTCATTTGATAATGTAGCTTCTTTAATGATAATAGAACTGCACATACCATTTAAGGGTAATTGCATTGCTTCCAAGAAGTTGGACCGACACGCAAAATAACGAAAAAATATTTCAGCGGAATGTTTTGAAAAACTCGTAAAAGTGCGGCCTTGGTATAAATTACGATATGGCACGCAACTTAATATGATTTTGACAGTTCGTGACATTTAAAATTTTTCCTTTACATTGCTGCGATGAACAGGGAGAACTAATGTTGACAAATTAGCAGTAGGAGAACGCAATATTCTGCCCACCCAGAGATTCAAACATGTTTATTTTTATTTTTACTTTTTTCATTCTCCTGTCACGCAATGCTTTGTATTTGTCGTCTGTCATACGCCAACAGGGTATGCAATACTGTCTGTTTTTTCATATTATGCATTTTCCCATTATAACGAGATGGCGTATTAACAAACCAAGAGAATTGCAACGCAAAATAATGTCGCATGACTGGGCGTAACCTGCACAAGATGTTTCTCATATCCTTGTCCATGTCGGGGTCGCAGAAAGAAATTTTTTCTCATCAAATTTTACGTAAATTTCTCATATGG